CTCATCGTGACCCCCTCTTCAGACTGTAATGGTGATTCCTAATTCTCTGCGAGCACTTGCTTCTCCCTCCCATTGAGCAACCACGTCCCATTGTCTTATGATCACTGGGTACAACATGCTCTCTCTCCATGGGCAGAGTCATCTTCTCTCTTGACCTTGTCACATTTAAACAATAAAGCATGTTTCAAAATGACCTCCAATCAGAAGCAGGACCACCATCACTTTCTTGATAGGTCTGTACCATCTCCTCCATAGATTTGAGCACAGTTACTAGTATATAAAGTAACTTATAAACTAGACTTTTCTTTGTTGCTTTCAGAACAGTATATAAATGGTTGGCAAGCAGACAGTCCCTTTGTAAAAGTAAAAACCGACCTCTTGTGAGAACAGACAAATATCTGAACAAGAGCACCAGGAGTGTCCATGGAGGTCTGGCTGGACAGAAGCTTCCTCAAGGTGCCCTTGTTCAGTGGGCAATGTCCCCAGCTCTGGAGGACAGCCTGGTATCGGAACACTCCACACATATTTCCCAACAACTCACAGCAGTCCAGAGATCATGAATAGCATTCTATTTGCCTTTTGTTGTTTTGATAAAGTGCCATGGCCAAAACCAGCTTCTGGAAGAGTTTATTTGAGGTTGTGGTTTTGGGGGAAAGAGTTCGTGAGTGCAGGGAGTCATGGCAGCAGGTGGCAAGAGCAGAAAACGGACACATCTCCAATCGCATGCAGAAACCGGACAGAACAAACCGGAACTTCTCCAATCGCATGCAGAAACCAGACAGAACAAACCGGAACTTCTCAAAGCCCACCATAATCACTGTCTCCACCAAGTCTCCACATTCTAATAACGTCCCCCAAATGTCACCACCGACATCGATCTAAGTGTCCAATTCCTTTCAGAGACCGTTCTCATTCAAAATCCTAGAAATGTGGGAAAAGGAAGGGCTCAAGAGAGTCAAGCAAAAGCTCGGGACCCGGAGAATGACGACAAAAGTGGGAATCATGAACGCTGCTAGTTCCGAAGGACATAGTACCCTCATCTGCCATATGAGATGAGAGCCCAATAGCATTAAGCATATGTTGAAGAGAGAGAGCCACCTCAAACACTTAGAATCCCTGAAACATTGAATTATTTTTAACTTGAGACTCATAGAATAATGAAATGAAACTGCAATAAGAAAGGCTAATGTGATTAATAGTAAAAGGATTTATGAATATGCTAATAAAATTCAAAATTTGTAAGTGAACACAACTGAAGGATGATACATCTCTAAACAGGTATATTCAAGGTGGTAAGGAAATTCCCTAGAATAGAGGTATAGGATGTCCAGCAAGGCAGGCCCGCGTTTCTCTTAGCTATTAAATAGCTTTATTTTAATGGTCAGCTGTTGAAAATCCAACAGCTTGTGGCATGAGAAAAATCCCACACAGTACATAAAAAGAAAGCAAACTCTCAAGGAGAAAGAGCAGGAGTCATTCTTCCTTCTCTTCCGGTGGAGGCCCCGCCCTCTTGATGCAGTAAAAATACTATCTGAAGTCTGGCCTCATTTGATTTGCCTGTGTCTAGCGTATTTCATTGGGAATCATGGGTGAAGTTGGTAGTGTTGTCTGAGTTCAGTCCTTACCTTGGCTGATGTCCTTGTCCAATGTGTGCTGCCTACTGCTCTGGATGGCCACCCCAATGTCTGAAAACCCCAGGGCATTATCCAGCACCTCACAGAGTCACAGTATCGTCAGCTGTCCTGGTAAAGGACGCAGTGCAGTCGACTGATCCTCAGTACCTTTCAGACTGTGAAACTGCTTCAATTCTTTTACTTGAAATATGTAAGCTGGTGAGGTGATGTAGATTTTGTCTCAGTAAATTAATTACACATTAACATGTGTGTAAAAATAGGCCGTGAAGAGCAGTAAATTGGTTTTTAGACCACCAAGATATGTCAAGCCATCAGTGTCAAATATCCTCCCGAATAAATTGTCAGTGTTCATAAGCAGTAATAACTACATAAATTAAACGTTTTCCATTGCACTTCGAGGGTAAAACAGGAATCCCTGAAGTTATCACAGGAATACCTTCATAATATTGCTTCTTATTATACCTCTGTCCCAAACCTCAGTCCAACAGGATAATCAAACTCTTCCCAGAATACCTTCAGTATACTGGGATACATGGGCCAAGATTATCACTGCTGTCATTGTGAAAGTCTACCACCACAGTGAGGGTCAATAATGCAACAATAGAATGTGGTAGAAAATCCCCTTAGCCACTCATCATGTGTGACCTGGAGGTGATTATTTGGTATGTGTCATTTTCAGATCCCTCAGGGATCTGATAATAAACTCAAAGTAGGATCATCGGGAGAATAAAGAGACAAGACAAGGCCAAGGCTTTTCCCGCAACTGTTAGTCCCTTATAATATTTACCCCGCAGAGTGTTTACCTACAGCAGTGTCTAATTTCTCCGTGTCTTAAATTCTCAACCACAGTGCGCATTCAGTAAACACAAAACCTTTCTGTAGTACTTCTTCTGAATGTTTTCCACACAGAATACCAGATGCCACATGGCAATGTAAAGCTAATTTTCACAACCCTAAAAGCATAGTTGCATTAAGCGTCCCCAGTAGATCCAAACAAAAAGAAATGGCATGGTGCTTTATTGCTTGGTTGGCTTAGGAAGATTTAAGAATCATGGGTTTTGTGATTTTTTTTTAATTTGACGGATGGTATTACTTTGTAGCTCAAGCTAGCCCCAAATTCACGATCTTGCTGTCTCAACCTCCCAAGTGCTAGCATTATAGGCATGTTCCCCACAGCCAACAAGATTGTTTCAATCATGAAGATATAATAATTAAACTAGTTAAAAGCTTCTATGTGACTGGTTTTTTGGAGGGGAGGGGATTCTCTTCAACCAAGCAAGGGAATTCTGAAATGAGGTACGACGTTGGGCTACCAGTGAAGACAAAATCAACTTCACCAAAAGTGATGCATCTTGCCAAATCAGAGATGATTCTGAGAATATTGTCAGAGGCTACAGGGAACTCCCAGGAATTGGGACTCATGAGGAGGCCAGACAGCTGGAGGAGCTGCGGAGTCTGAGCTGGGCTCTGTCTGGCTTCATGTGATGCATCATCAACCAGAAGTGAGAGAAGAGGCAGGGCCAAGCCTTAGTGCCCAAGAACAGGGACAAGTTTTCTTTGGCCAAGGAAACAGCGCCATTTTAAGGAAAATATCTTCATAAGTATAAGAAAACATTTTTTCTATTTTTTAAAAAATATATCAGCTTTGTATTAAAGATAATGTTAGACCTCAACAAGTAACATGTCAGCAGCCTAGATTAAGACACTATCAGTGATCACAAAGAAAATTTAACACACCATGTTAGTGTATTGTCTGAATGGTTACAAGGATCATTTTTAAATATCTATAAGAGAGAAAGAGAGTTGGAGCTGTCTGCCTGATGAGCAGGAAGTTTACTAACATGAAGTTAAGAGGCATGTGGTTACGAAATGAATTTATTTGTCAACCTGTCAAATCCCCTGAAAGTTAAGGGAGCTTTCTTAAACTTGAATATGAAATTTATCCTATGACTGCAATTGCCTGGAAGCAAGAGAATGAAACAGGCCCCAAATGGGAAGCAATGAACCCCACTTTTTTATCTGCGTGCACTGAGGAGGTATGACCGGTGACTCATTGAAGGTGACAAGTTCCCAAGCAAGCACACCCACACACCCCACACACACACACACACACACACACACACACACACACACACACACATTGCACCAGAAAATGACTTCAGGAAACAGTAGAGTATTGGAGACACTAAGCCTGGAGCTGAACTATTGAGCTTTTATGTGGACCTAGAAGATTCTAGAGTTAGTGAAGCAGTCATAATCTGTTGTTAGACAGCTGCCCATGTATGTACTCACACCTTTAAATTTTATCCCTAAGCCTTTAAGATGGTTAAAGGTCATGCAGTTTATATAAACATTTGAATATGGGTTGTTCTATTTTAAAAAGAGTCTAAATGCCAGTCTGTGATTTGTGTCTCTTTGGCTTTCCGTATTTAACTGAAAAGGCTTGAGTCCTGAAGATCAGCCATGTACCAGTACCAAAAGGTATTGTCTCCACAGGAGGGAGAAAATACTTCATGGGAAGTACACGTCTATTGCTTCAATCAATTTGAGTGGCAGGAGGGAGTTCAAAATTGACTAGTGAACCATTCCATCTGTGACTATACTGTGATGCGTGTAAGACATTTGCTACATAAATTTCTCTGATGTAATCTGGTATCTTAGTTTCTTCACCACTTACATCACTTGAATTTGCTATTCACATACTTACATATTTTCTTTTTTTTCACTCTGTGGTTTTCTAAATCCATGCCTACAGTGCAGTTAGGCAACCTTTGATCTTCATGCACTGAGCGGGCTTCCTTTTATTTGGGTATACAAACATGGTATTTAGAGCCGAAACACTAAGGATATAAACTATAAAGCCATTGTGTTCTTCATAAAGGAAGTAGCTCTACTTTTTCCTACCTTCTATTGTCTTCTCTTCTACAGTGCATGAGACATGCTGACCCCTGTGCCCTAAAAAGCTAGATATAAACGTATTGCTTAAGTACATCATATAAAAACAACCACAGAAGGAGTCACAGACCTGCTCAAGATCACACAGGTCAAGGCAGAATCAAACTCCCATCACAGTTTCTCCCTACCACCAGCCACCAGCATGAAGAGCATGGATTTTTTTTTTTTTCTTCTCTAAGGGTTGCTGAATAGCATCACATGACAGCAAGGTATTCGTCATTCTCATTGTCAGTATCTTCAAAGGCACCACTGCCCTTTCTAAAACACAATGTTCTACAGCAAAAAGGCTAGAAATCAAAGTTCGAGGACCCCGTGGGGGAAGGAAGAAAGCACAGTGTTTTTCACTTGCACACTTGTATGTCCAACAAACACCTCCAGAACGAAGGATGGTGTCAGTTCAAAGTCACTTACCCAAATCTGAAGCTTGATTCTCTTTTCATTTTTGAATACAGTTTTTACTTTGAAATCGATCCCAACTGTGCTGACGAACGCCGATGTGAAGGAGTCGTCTGCGTAGCGGAACAGGAAAGATGTTTTCCCCACGCTACTGTTGCCAATGATCAGCAACTTGAACATGTAGTCGAAGTTCTGGTCAGAGGAGGAGTCCTTCTGGCCAAACCTGGCATCTTGTGCAGAGGACATCTGTGGGGAAGCAGGAAGGGATCAGCCTCCCATTTGATATGAAGGTAGCAGCAATACTCATTATTGCCCTTGCCAGAAACAGATGTCAGAGGCGGAGGAGGCAAGTAGAGCGCTCCCCAATTCCCCTCTGATACCGGTATCCATGGCAATAATTCCCAGCTGGAAAACAGAACAGCAAATCTTATAGCTCTTTCCAGCTGTGCGTGTGCTTGTCACCGCTCAGCATTCACAAGCAATCAAAGACACCAAAGGCGACATCTCTCAAAGCAACATGGAAAGGCAAAGATATGAGGAATAGGCATGGCATGCGAACTCTGAAACTTTATAATCTCAGTTAGGGGGACTGCAAAGTGACTGAGCAGCGCTCATTCCTAAAAGTGGGAGTTATTAGTTGAGACCAAAAAAATTATGACCACACCTCCATTGTGTCTAATAATATCATTATCATGTTGGCATCCCAACCTAAAAGTCAGTCTCCTTAAAATTAAAAACAACGATAATGATAAATTTATATGGTTCAAAATGGAGCAGGCATTGTTCATTTATTGAACCCTCATGCACCTTATCCCTATTAAAATGGGAAAAATCGAGCTTCAGAAATATGAGATGACGCACTCAAGTTTACACAGAGGGTAAGAAGGAGAAGCAGGATTAAAATCAGGCAATTGGTGTCAGGGAACACAATCCTGACTTCTAACCTATTTCCAGGTGACATCTACAGAAATAAGCTTAGTATTCCAGAAGGTCATGTGGGAGGAATTTCTTGACAGAAGTATGGAGAATTCTACCTAGGTTTAAGCACTGATTCTGTTACTTACCATCTCTGTGAATATGGCTTTATTTATTTTTAGTTTTCTTTATTATATACTTGTTTACTGTCTGAGAATTCTGTACACGCATGCAATGTGTTTTGTGGGTTTATTTTAATTGATATGCTATAGTTTCTCTCCTCACATGAAGTGAAAATGACACAATTCCCAGAATGCTCATGAAAGTAATGGATAATATAGCTATAAATCCGATGTATAACTTGGTATAGATAGAGATTGGTTTCTTGTTGCTTCTAAATGCCTTAGGTAGATGTTTATTCTTCCTCGTTTTGTGATAATTTTAACATCTATCAAAGTGTCATTGTATCACTTCTAAGTACCACTGGCTTAGGAGAGAAAAGAGACATTTTTGAGTGATGAATCCATTTGCTGCAGCACCTTTTCTGATGCTACGAAGTTTTTGGCAATTGCTCTGCTAGTCGGTGTGCTAGCCACTAAGCACACATGGCAGTTAAAGTAAACTAAAATTAAACACAATTTAAAATGTAGTCTCTTAATCACACTAGCCACATTTCAAGCATATAACCCCTGACACACACACACACACACACACACACACACACACACACACACCAGCTAATGTACTGGATAATGACACCATTACAGCAGGTTCTACAGAAAATGCTAGGCTAGACAGTCTGTTTTGCATAAAAGCTGGCTAATACTTATTACACTATCTCTGAGAAATGCTGTTAGTTTAATGACGATGTTCCTGCGATGGAAGTTTGGTTCTCCATCTGAAGTGGTGAACTTTAAAGGCAGGACCTAGTACAAGACAGGTCACTGGGAGCACTGCTCTCAGAAGAGAGGGAGGTCCCTCAAGGGGCCTTGGTGAGTTTCCACAACAGCGTGCTGTTACAGCAAAAACAAGCCCGGCCCCTGAATCTCTCGGGTTCCCTAGCTTACCCAGTGATCTCTGGCTCTTACAAGTATTCACATCATGTCATCCCACATTCCATAATACGGCTAGAAGACACTCCCTAGAGGCCAACATCGTGTGTTATGACCTCAAAAATAAGAACTCAATAACCCTGTGGTTTTTTTTTTTAATATAGTATCCAGCACCAGGTAATTTGTTGCAGCAACTAAAAATGTAGTAATCCTAGAAGAGGGAGTACACAATAAGCTCCAGCAAGGAGTAGTAGATGCTAAAAACAATAAACAGCCCTTGGGCTCAACTAAGACCCCTAAGATGATATATTACCTGCCTGGAGCCAGAAGAAAGAGTGTGGAGGAGAGATGTATAGAATAAATAAAATGGGGAAAATGAGATGAAAGAACATATCACCCTTCTACACACAGTTATTAGCAGCAGGGGAGTACAATTATTTGTATAAAAGTAACACAAAGGGGACTATCTCTCTATATCACAAAAGTTAAAGGTGATAAAATTCCCACTGAAGATGTTTTCTAAATTAATACAGAGTTAAGCATTTTTTGGTTCATTTTTCAAGACAGGGTTTCTCTGTATTGCTTTGGAGCCTGTCCTGGAACTCGCTCTGTAGACCAGGCTGGCCTCGAACTAACAGAGATCTGCCTGCCTCTGCCTACCGAGTGCCGGGACTAAAGAAATGGGAGGAGGTAACCCTGTAAGAAGCAGTCATCACAAGCTCTGAGATGCCCTTCTGGACATCTCTTCTCCTTATTCAATTCAAGACAGCACTTGTGTTGGACACTCATTAGGTCAGGACCTAGTTGTCCATGCATTTCTAGGACAATGTAATGTCCGAACCACCCTTGAGGAACGTGTTGTCAATGTACTTGTATTTCCAGGTTGCAGGGTTCATCAATTAGAATGACTGAATCTGCTTCACATGTCAAAGCTACTATTACTATTATTGTATGAAAACGAGCCTACTCATGCACATTTATACACTCATGTCCACCCGCCCACCTGTTTTTCCTATCCCTTTTCTCAAACTGGTGTTCACTGAATCACATTTTCAAAAGAACAGCTATCTTAATTCTAAGGTCACAGCTGAAGGTGATATGAGAATCATTATTTGCCAACTGGTATTTAACACATCTCTCCTTTAAGATCGTTAAGGCTCATTAGACCATGTCCACTGGGATAGAAATTATTCATCTGTATTCAATTACAAGATTCTCACATTGATAAGATCAGATATGCATCAAGGCCATGGGGTAGCTGAAAAGTCAAACAAGAATCTTTGATGGGCTACACTTAATCTAATAGCAATAGACAGATGAGACGCTCCTAGCCTCTCCTCCAGTTACATTATGATTTTGTTTTCTGGTGTGAAAAACTAAGGATGTAGTAGCTAAACAGCATGGCTCCAGACTTTTCTCATGAGTCAAAGTAGATACAAAACTACTATTTTTTAAAAATCCTGCTACTATACCCAATCTGACTTAGACTTGTTAGCATTTGCTAGAGGCCTAGACACCTGGATTATTCACCCCTATGCTTTCATGATTCATTATATAAAAACAAGGTTAAGGACTTCAATAAAGCAGATATGACACTTCAAACCATTATGAGATATATCAACATTGCACAATGCTTTCCTTGTCTGCAGAATTAAAGCCATTGCAAAAGATATGAATTGGCTAAAGAAATTTTATTTTGATTTATTGTTTGGAATTTTATATCTCATTCAAACATTTAAAAGTACCTTGAGCTAACAATTATTATTTAAGGCACAAAAAGTACACCACCAGATAAACAAGAATCAATAAAGGTAAAATTAATCATAAATATTAAAATGCAAACACTAATATTCACACCAAAAATGTGTGAAGTATAATCAAAGTGATATTATTGTTTACATTTCTATATTTTTTCCTGTAAGAAACTCAAATAATCACATTTTTTCTTGACTTTTTTGAGCAATACTAAAAATGAGTCCCATTAAATTTTTCTAATACTCTAATCTCTCAACCCAAGAATACTCATTAATCTTTAGTTGGTAACATAACATGTTTCTAATTTAAATGGAGCCAATTGTGAGCTTAAATGGAACAATACAATGGCTAAAATGAATAATATCTGTATTGGAATTAACAAACACTATAAATCACAGAAGAGTCACTAAGCTCAAAGATAAATCAATAGAAATCATACAATCCAACATAGAAAAATGAAAATTAAAATAAACAGAACCTCTATAGTTTCTGAGTCAATATCAAAAGTCTAACTTGCATGGAACTGAAGGCTTGTGAAGACAAGGAATAGAATAATGATAAGGAAATATATTTAAAGATATAATGAATTATCTAATTTGTTGGAATATAAAATTATTAGTGTTTGATAATGTCACTTCAACCCTCTAAGTTGACAAACTACAAAGGAAAAATATAGGCATATCAAACTAAACAGAAATATATTCAAGACAAGCAACAGGAAACATGATATTTTATACACACACACACACACACACACACACACGACAATAATACAAAGAGCAGATAATTCTACAACATAATAGAGTCAGTAGATAATGAAATAACATACTGAAATTCAGCACTAAAAGGAAGAAAAAAGTCAACATAAATTTTGATGAGCATTAAAAATCCCATTCAGAATTCAAGAAAAATTTTTACCCAAAATAACATATAAGCAACAAATGATATAATAAATGTATTCAAACTCAGTAAGGAAGTAGAAGATCTTCATAACATCATAGATGACCCAATTGACGTAGACACTACATTTTACAACTACAACCCACATAAGGACAGAGAGAATGTTAACATTAGATCTTAGACTGATCTAAAAATAGGCTTAATTTTTTTTCAAAATATTGAAATCTTAAAGAAAATGCCCTCTAAATGTCATATAAGTGAAATTTAATGAATCATCAATACCAATGAAGATCTGGAAAATATATAAACCTTTAGAAATTAAAGATTTTGTAAATCCAAGTATTAAGCCCAAACACTCTGATAAAACAAATAAAGAATTTGAAATGATATACAATCAAATAATGCATTCAGAAATTTGTGAGTCAGCTTAGAGCAATCCTTAGAGGGAGTTTTATCATTTGAAATGCTTATATTTACCAGCAGAATGGAAATAATCAAAATCAGTGATATCAATTCTACCCTCAAAAGCTAAATTTCTCCTAATGGAAGTATAAGGAACATGAGATTTTTAAAAGCCAAAATCAATAAAACAGAACGAGAGAAAAGGCTGAAGGCAGTGGGCTCTTGTGGGCAAACATCAGTAATGCGGAGAACTACACTGTAAGCATGACAAGCAAAGCCAGGACACGATGTGTAATCCCAGCATTGGAAGGCTGACAAAGAATTGCTTCAAGTTCAAGACTTACCTGGGTTAGTGAGGTCTGGGTCATTACTGAGGTTCAAAGCAACGATATACTGGTGTGATCCCCTGAATGTGGTGTCAGTTAGGAGGCCTGGACAGTCTATGGGGCCTCTGGTAGTGGATCAGTATTTATCCCTAGTGCACAAATGGACTTTGGGAACCCATTCCACACGGAGGGATACTCCCTCAGCCTAGACATGGGGGAGGGCCTAGGCCCTACTCCAAATGATATGACAAACTTAGAAGACGCCCCCATGGAAGCTCTCACCCGCCATGGGGAGCTGAAAAGGGATGGAATGGGTGTTGGTGGGGGGAACAGGGGAGGAGGGGAGGGTGAAGGGACTGGGATTGGCATGTAAAACAAGCTTGTATCAAATTTAAATTTAAAAAATATATAAAAACAAAGAAATACATCCCTTCAAGTTATTGGTCATGCGTGTTGTCCAATGAACACTTTAAAATACGCAGGCTATTGGCATTGCTCTTCTATAAGATCGCTGTTGCTGAGGGTACCACACTTTAGTCATAGGACTTAGAGGAATCAAGCTAGTACTGATCTGAAGCTTCCCTCTTCTTGTTAGTTTTAATTATACTTGAAGATGACCTTCAGGCTACTGCAGGAGAAAAACCATCACCAATCTTATAAATCTGCAAATCCTACAAATCACAAAAAACTGGTCTGGTAAGATATGCCTATGATGTAATAATGGCACAAATGTTATGGAGATAACCATACTTGTTTTTTTTTTCTCCTCCCCCATTCCTTAGCATCCAGGCTCATTCCACTGGACAAAACTCATGAGTAGTAATGTACATATGCCCACGAACCTGAATTTGGGAGCCTAGAGGATCTAGGAGTGAGCCTATTACTATTGTACTAAATAGACTTACTATCAAACTCCCTTCTAAATAATTGTATATATATCCAAAGTTTAGTGCAGCTTCTCATCTGAGAAGTGACTTCACATTAAATCCAAATTCTTGTACTTAAAAGAGTAGAGCTGGGAGCCTATCCTTGTAGCACCGAAGTTCACTTGTTCTTTTCATTAATTCTCTTTGTGCCCTGCTTTTGCACAGATGATACTCAAGGAACAAGTAGCAAAATATCTGTGAAGGATGGGAATAATTGTCTATTGTACAAAAGATAATGATTGTAGAGGATGAAAATAGTCAGGCATTCACACATAATAAAATACAGGAATGCCACAACCTTTCTATTGCCAACACAGTAATACCTAGGCAGTAGTTACCTATCAGTTGTAATGTGTAAAGCGGGACTGTGTTGAGCATCTGCCTTACTGCTTTCAACTCAGAGTCATCTTTGGTCCATGTCTATGTTGTTTTCCCACTTCTGCTTATCTTTAGTCAGTTTCTTCCAGTCTCTTCCAGTCCTTCAAGCACACATTTTTGTTTGAAGTTCCCTCTTATAAGATAAAACTAAAAACTAATCAAAATACTAAATGTGAGAGACAATGGATCTCTCCTTAGTCCCATAAAAAAGTAAATGAAACTACAAGAAATTACAAAGAAGATAGACAGCAAGACTATTATAACACAATGGCTCTTCCCAAATAATTAGTTTAGTTTATGCAAGCTTATTTTTATAAGCATAAAATAGGACCAATATATTTTTCTTTCTATTTTACTAAATGAATGAGCGACATTTGTCAATAGGGTCCTCATTCTTTACACCACACATTTATGCCTTCCGGAGAAGGCATAGATAATAATAAAATAATAGAATAAAGAACATGAAATTTCTAGATAGAGTGACCTAATAGTATTTTAACTCGTCCATGTTAGAGAAGTTATTAATATTAATAAGCTCCAGTTAATTAGCTTTAAAATAGGTAATGGTGACTTGTAGAATTTTAAAACTTATTTATAAATATTTTGACCCATATATAGCCATGCCTATGAGGATTTTATACATATATACAGGGACAGTGACATCTGAATGCAAAGCACAGTGGCTGTCGAAGGTAAGCACTGAGTGGACTGGTGTTATTTTTCAGTCAGACCCTGTATTAAATTTGCTCTCAAAGTCTTGCCCTCAATCATGAGCATTCCTGCCCCTCCCATGTCATTTGGCCCCAGGGATTTATCGATGGGCTGAATGAGAAGACCAAAATGACTACCTGGTGGTAGTCATTAATGTTCAAAACTTACCATGCTTACTAAATGCTAGCCTTGATTAACTAATTAGAAAGAAAATACAAGCATCCAAGTCCATCACTAACTATGATTGTAGTAGTCACTACAAGAAACAGGTATTGCCTTCTTTCCTATCAACTTGAAGAAAAATGTTTTACAGAAAACATTCAAGTACCAAAGACAATTACAATGTGCTAAACCAAAGCCATCTACATAAAAACATCAGATGCTTTATAATGGATCTCGTGTATTTTTCCAAAGAGTTTCATTTCAGAAGAGAAACCATGATATTTAGGAAGATAGCCAGTGCACTAAAAGCTCGCTTTGTTTCACGTCAACAACTGAACTAAATATTCCAAAGATGAAGAAAAAAAAAGTCTGAGATAAATGGAATATTAAGTGAGGCTTTCCTTGTGACTCATCCTTTGTAAATGTAAGTAAAGGAATATTTGGGGGCTTATGTTTAAAGTGATGGAACATCCTAATCATTAAGAGGAAAAAAGGAATAACCACTATTTCTAATGTTGCATCTTTGTGTTTCAAAGTAACATGGAATATCATTCTAATTTAGAAAAGGGGATTCTGAAACATTAATTGCCTATATTATTTTAAGAATGTGGAAATGATAGAAGGCACCTCAACAATAATTTATTAAAATGAATCAATGAGTATGCTTGAATTAAATATACTTTTAGCAAGTCTGCATTCTTAAAATGCATAATAAATTCACACTAGCTTTTTGGAGGTTATACTTTAAATTCAAAAAATATGACCCATCTTTATTTATTAGAAAATTGATTCCATGATACCTAATTTTTACACAAATTCACTAGTAGAGTTTTCATTAAAATATAGCTTCACAATACCTAGAATATATCTGATGGATATACACACACAATAATATAAATTATGTCTTAAAGCATTAATTTCACACAGTCTGTAACATTTCATTGCCTTTCTGAATAGTCTAAGCAACATGGAAGGATAAAATCAATACACAAAAGCTATTTTATTTGTCAGTTGACAGAAAGATTTCACCACATCAATGGAGTCAACTTTAAATTCTGATTTACATTATTGTTTTTTAATTTTGGAAAAACCTAAGTTTAGAGGCCAGCATATAATATTTTGATGTATGTATACAAAATGATGAGTGACAACCCAGTTTTAAAGACAACTGCCAATATTTACCTATCATCAAATGTGATTAATTCAGCTAGTTGGCTCTTAGCAACATCTCCAGTGAGGGAAATTATCATAAGCTAATATACTTGATTGCAACAGTCTTTATTGTCTGTTCATACTCGTTTTGCATCAGATGTATAATAAAAAGCTAAGTCGCAAACAGAAATATCAGATGTCACACAAAGGGTCTACTATTCCCAGGCACAAATCAAGTTTTCAATAACTCTTAAGGTAATGGGAGGTCTTCCATTGTATAATACTCCAGAAAACAAATTCTATAATGCTTTCATTTAGAAATCCAGTTAGCTTTCCTTAATATATGTAACTTATAAAACACATGAAAAGTAAATCAATGTGGATGTATAAAGTCCTTGATTCCTGCAGAAACCTTGGGAAGCATTTGAGACTGGATTGTCAAATATTCATGTTACTGAGTTTGCCAAGAGAAGTGGGCTCTGAAGGGAGGCAACACATTCCAAATGGAGTGATCTCTTCTCCTCTCAGCCCATTCATAAAACGCCTTTCTGTTATGCAACGGCTCACTCTGCTTGGCTAATGAAGATACTTATGTTTAGCATTAACCAGTTTACACAGAAAGGAGAAACAACATTGGTCTTCACTTAAGAGCATAACTTGGTGAGTAGCTCCAACATGGGTACATTTCATTTCTGAGGGGAATAAGCCCAGGGATGTGAACTAAAATGGGGAATCTGATACGATAGTCCAGTGAATGGCTCCCTCAAACAGGAATGCTGGGGAAAAGAGGGTCCTCGAAACTGAGCCAGTAGGTTAAGTAGACACACATCAAGGGTGGCATAGCTCTAAGATAAAAGCATAAATGTGTTTGCTCTTTTCCTTTAATACTAAAATCCTAATAATAATAATAATAATAGTAATAGTAATAATAATAATAATAAGACTTCTGAGACACTGGAACTGGCTTCTCTCTCTCAATGTGTCAGCTAATTCATGTGACTAATCTCACACCACTATCAGGAACCTAGGAAGCCAAGAACATCAAATCCAACAAGAGATGGTCCGTCCTGACTTTGTTAGCTCGGGTTTTCATTTTCCACACTCAGTCTCCTCGCGGAGCCCGAAAAGATACAGAACAACCCTGCCTGTCTTTCATGGAGACGTCCCCTGAGAGACCGGAGAAAGCCCTCTCTCTACCGGTAGCTCCCAGACCACTCTTTCTTTGTAGACCCACCTGCATGGGCGCCTCGTGCCTCATCGTAGGCAACTGTCCTTTCTCTCTTGCTACACAGGGCAGCGCTGGTCCGGGCGTCTGGTGGAGCGTGCACAGCCCGCGCGCGCCCGGCCACACTCCTCGCGCGTGGGGCTCTGTAGCCAGACCCACATCAGCACCGGAGCTGTCCGCTCCTGACTCGGCAGGGCGTGCTGGCCACGAACCCCGTGCGCTTCTGGGAGTTGTAGTCTAATCATAGGAGGCATCCGTGCAGACGGAAGAACCGTGGACTACAACTCCCAGAGATCGAGCAGGCTTCCCCCCAGGACCGTCTCTCCAGCGGCTCTGGGCAGCGGAGCCTCCCTTCTCTTTTCCTGGCTCCACCGGTTGTCATCGCGCTCACCCTGCCCAGACCATTTCCTCAGAGCCCTGGCGAGAATGGCACGAGTTCATCCCGAGCAAGGACCTGCTTTCCCCAGTGTCGCTTTTGGAAGCATGACTGTACCTTCCCGGAGAGGGAGCGCAGCACTTTGTTCTAATTTCCAATGCAAACGGGCGTTTACCTTACCTCTGTCCCGAACGCGAAAAGTTTATGCGTACCTCGAGTGGAGTAGTTTTACAGTCTCAACTGTCACGCGGGGAAACGACGTTGAATGGCACACATAAGAGAAAGGAGGTTCGTGGGCACGACTGCACTGAGCAGATCTTCAAGCAGGCAGGCGCGAACACACACACACACACACACACACACACACACACACACACACACACACACACACAGAGAGGCACAGACAGAGCCAGCTCTCAGGCTGAGCCCGCGGAGGCACGCCTTTCTGTTTTCTGTTTACCTTTCCATACAGCTCCATTGCAGCCAGAGGTTTGGACAGCCTCGGGGAAGTCTTTCCAGTCACTACAAAGGAGGTGAAGCTCTTATGCAGGCGTCAGAGCACAATGGGAAGACTAGGAAGGGGGAGGGGTTTGCGGAGAGCGAATGGGGGATGGAAGGGACGGCAGGTTCCGATGGGTGCCTTTCTTCTTCCAGAAAGCAGCCCAGGAGTCTTCTAGTGACAACTGCAGAGAAAAGGCTGGGAGTCTCCTAGGATGTGCCAGGGGCACCCGCGTTGGGCTGCCCCTCCCTGCACACACTCCACCCGAGGGCCGCAGAGCTGATAGGGCACTGGGTTATTTACCCAAAGCAAGCCACACAAAATGAACACATTCATCACCAGAGCCCAGGAGCGCCTTCACGGAATGAGATGGGAGACCTCGATTAAGTTACCCAGATTTTTTTTTCTTTACCGTGCAGCCAGCCCTTCCTTTTTATCGCAATCGCTCTCTTCCAGGACCGGTTCATAACATGGTTTTCAAGTCTCCGAACTGTACATTTACTTACTCTCTCCTGACAACTTCTAATATGTGTGACTCGTGTCGAGTCTTCTCCCCTCCAGAGTACAAGTTCATCACTAGCTGTGACCCCCTCCTTTCCATGAGGTCAGATTTATGGCATCAGACACAGAGTAAAGGAAGAAACCCTCATGATATTCTCATGCATTCGGGCAAAGGTTAATTTGAAATGCCTTTGAACTTCATCTCGTGAGATAGACATTCTGGTACTTAAATGTACGGGAAACATCTTTTGGAGGTAAAAATTATCCTTCACACTCTGAGGCTCCATGCGGAGACCCTACTGGGATCCACATTTACAACATTGTCTGCAGAAGGTCTTATACAAGTAATTTCTTTGCTGTAATTGGAGCAATGCTGCTTTTAAAGGATGTATGTGTCTTTTGTCAAAGACACAAACCTCAAAATTTCCCTCTAAACTCTCTATCACAACAATATGCAATGTGTACCTGATACTACAGTAAACCACTGGTGTCTTCTTTTTTCCCCCTCGGGAATCTGTCTTATACTTTCTGGTTAATGAGAATGTATTGTGGTATCACCCAAGTGAATATTTTTATAACAACGCAAAAGAACACTTTAAAATGATCACCTCTTAAATGAGTTATGTGATGACTAGAGAAAATTCACTTAGAAACAGAGCCAGTGTGTAAAGGTGTTTAATGCCAAGCCCAATGGCCCGAGTTCAGTCCTTGGAACCCACACAATGGTTGGAGAGAATTGACTCCAGCATGTTATCCTGTGACTTTCTCATGTGGCTTGGGGCACTCATGTATTCTCACACACACAAACCCAAAATAATCAAAAGAAATTAGTAACATGTAATGAAAGTGTTTTAATTCTCATCCAGGTCACTGCTGTATCGCTGGGAAGAAACACCATGATGGGTGCAATTCTTATAAAAGACAGAATTTAACTGCAACATAGTTTCATAGGATTGGTCCATGGGCACCAGGGCAGGAAGCAGAGAGACATTGTGCTGGAGCAGTAACTGAGAGCTTCACATCCTCATTGTTGTGGTATGACCCTTCTGCACACTGTGAATGTTAATCTAAGTAATGCCATGTGGCTGTGATTGTACCTGTGGTCTAGCACATCCTGCTGCTCTGGCAGCTGGCTGGCATCTCTCCTGATTCATACCCTTCTTTCTCCTTGTATTCAGTTTGGCTTTCCCGCGTAACTATATTCTGCCTGGGTACAGGCCAAAGCAGCTTTTATTATCAACCAATGAGAGCAGCATATATTCACAATTGGATCTGATGCCCTCTTCTGGTGTGCAAGCATGCATGCAGGTAGAGTGTTCATAAACATAAAATAAACAAAGATAATAAATAAGTGTATTGTTTCTGTCCTTTTACATTTACACCAAAGTGTAAGTGTATTATATAAAATGCACCCATCCCCTGAGATCTTTGCAATTTAACAGCCACCAAAGCCTTAAAACCCACAGCCTTAAAATCAAGAAATTACTCAAAGTTAGGATAGAACGCTGTGCTTCTTGTTGAGAGCCAGAAAGAGATGAAGGCCTTTTGCACTTACATTGGAATCTGAGGTTATGAGTCAATATTAAAATGTGCTAAGATGGCTGGAGAGATTGCTCAGCATGTAAGAGCGCTTCGTGACCCTCCAGAGGTCTGGTGTTTGGTTCCAAGACCCACATCTGGTTTTCACCATCATCTGTAACTCCATATCCGGGGGGAGTGACCCTTTCTTCTGAGCTCCATGTGTACCTGCGTGCACCTGGGGCACAGACTGTCTGAAAACAGTTAACAGAAGGGAAGGACCACTAGACAATAACACAGTGTGTAGCGTGAGCACCTCACCATATTAGTGTGGGGAGGCCTGAAAGGTCTAAGGCCCAGCAATGGTGAGTAAGTGTCCCCAAGGATCTCACAGACCCCTGGAGGGAGGGATGGGGTGCGGGCACTTACACTCTAACACACACTTTGCTTTGCACTGTCTCATGTCACTACTCAGGTTCTGAGATCCTTTTCCTTCTCTAAAACTCAATAGCCTTCGCTGTGTCATTTGTAAAGGTCGGATTTATATATTACCCATTTGCTGTTGTCATTCCATATTGTTTAAGCTTCCTGTTAAAAGTAGCCAAGAGGGAAGCTAAGAAATCACAACAGACATTTTACTGGCACCATTTTCATGATTCCCACTTAAAGATTCCCACTTAAAACCGAAGCCACTGAGGCTTGCAAAAGGACTAAGGACACTTCCTTAGAATTTGCTGCCTGCTTCAAACAAGCCTGGCTCAAACCCACAGTCTGATGCTGTACCTGGGTGTCTAACCTTAAACACGATTGGGACTGCATCCAATTGAATGGGAGAGGTTTTGGCCTATACACTATTACCTCTACCTGGCTAGACATAGTGAGCTGTCTTTGATTCCAACCTTATTTTGAGTGCATACCATGAAAAGCTATTGATTCTCTCAGGTTCTCCTTAGAAGAAGTTAAATATCCCCATGGTGCTATTGATTTCTTTGAAATTAAAAGGAAAATTATTTTAACTCATTCCTGCTCATGAAGTTTCCAACATTATACACAATCAATATAACTAAAACGTCTTGTGAAAAAGAAATGCCCTCCAAGCGAATGTAAAATGATGTTGTTTCTGTCCATAACATAGCCACTTTTCAACTGCTACCCTTCAAAAAATACCAATGCCAGGGCAGCACTTTGTCTAGATTCTTCCATTTAATTGTCAATAATGTTGAAAGGTGATGTTACAACCTCATTTTACCATCAAGAGAGGGTATGCATTTTGTTTAAAGACACTGGCTAGGATGATTGGTACAGGCTTTAAAGCTAAGAGCTATCTAGTTCGAAACCCAAGTTCTCAACCTAGTTTTTCCTCATAAAAGTTAATGTTATAAAACATCACACTTGACAATCTATGACAAGTTTTTCTGTGGTCTTGTTGTTTAGAGATCAAGGATGTGATTATAACACTATTATGAAATTATAAGGTTACTTAGAACTTTTAATGCAAGTTTTTAAAGTTTGAAAATGTTGTGATTGGTTGATTTTGATTGTCAACTTGATTGGGTGTTTCTGTAAAGGGTGTTTACAGACAGGCTTGACCAAAGAAGAGGGAGGCCCACTGAGGCAGGAGCAGTGTCACCCACGGGCTGAGTCCCTGCACCGAACAAAAAGTGGAAAAGAGAGGTAGCTGACCATGTCTCTCCCTCCCTCTTCTTCCTGACCATAGCCATGCCTTACCCTCAGCAGTGGATTTCTTTCCTCTTTTTGTGAGCCAAAATACACCATCCCTCTCCAATTTCTCTTTGTCAAATATTTGGCCACATTGACAAAAAGAAGTAACGAAAGTAACCATATACCCTTTCGGTCAAATGTCAATCCATTTGACCTACTAGAAATATTTTAAGAGACTTTTTACAAAATGTGGATCTTTTACTGAAAAGCGCATGCTATATTTCTAGCTCAGATAAAACTATAAGCAATAAACAGTATAAGAAAATCAGAAGACTACTAATCACCAGTGCCCACATCTCACACCAAGGACTTCATCAGTAGGTTTTAGGTCCCTATCCTTGTTGGAGCCTTGCCTGGCCTACTTCTTTATTAGTTCTTAAGGGTGTCTCCACCAGAGATTTAATATTATCTTTAAAAACCATTGCCCCCATAATACTGTTATAGATGTTGGGAAGTTTTATTATTAAGATCTGCATTAACTGTGTGAACTTTAGATGTTAAGATTTCCAGTATGTTTTTGATCCGATGAAAACTGTGCAACTCAATAACCTGTC